TCCCGCCTCCCCCTCGCCGCCTCCTTCCCTCCTTCCCTTTATCTCCCGCTCCTTCCCGCTCCGCTGCCGAGGGGCCGCGAGATCAAAGCGGCCCGGCCGCCCCCGCGTGTCCCGGCTCTCCGAGCCCATTCCCGGCCTCCCACGGCACCGGGGCTCCCGGAGTCCCCGTTCCAGGGAGCATCTCGGGAGCCTGCAGATTTCCACCCCTGTCCTTGTGTTGGGGACAGCGCCGGCGGCTCAGCCCCCCCGCGCTAAGCGGGGACACCGGGATGCTCCCGGGGGCTCCCGGGAAAGCCGGTGGCTCCGAGGGCTTCGCTGCAGGATCAAAGGCGGCCGCCCGGAGCGGGGGGTCTGCAGGGGCCTGGGGACATCATAGGGACCCGGCGGCTTCGTTAGCTGCAGCTCGCTCCTCCCGGGAGGGATTTCTGCTGCAGTCGCTGGAATTTCTTAAGGAAAAGCTTTGGAAGGGGGAGAGGAGAGCGGCCCGGTGCAGAGGCGGCCGCGTCCAGGCGGGCGCACGTGGCCCTGGGCCCGGAGCTCGATGTCCCTCCACGTGACCGGGATCGATGGCGCCCGGCGTGGCGGAGCCGCAGGCCCCAGTGGGCCCCGGCGTCCGGGCCCACGCGCGTCGCCCTCCCTCCGCAGCCGCCCAGACCCGCTTCGTGGAGGAGCCCGAGGACCAGACGGTGGTGGCCGGGCAGAGGATCGTGCTCTCCTGCGTGGTGCTCAACTACTCGGGCATCGTGCAATGGACCAAGGACGGGCTGGCGCTGGGCATGGGCCAGGGGCTCAAAGGTAGGTGGCTCCTGGATGTCACCTCCCTGTGTGACACGTGGCCTCCAGGTGCCCGGGAGCAGCGCTGGGAGCCCTGCACACACCGGGGTGCAGCGGGATTGGGATTCTGGGGGCACCGGGATGCAGTGGGCGCCAGGATGCAGTGGGTGCCAGGATGCTGCGGGCGACGGGATGCTGTGGGCAATGGGATGCTGTGGGCACTGGGATGCTGCAAGCACCAGGATGCTGTGGGCACTGGGATGACTGTGGGCACGGTGATGCTGTAGGCACTGGGATGCAGTGGGCACCGGGATGCTGTAGGCACTGGGATGTAGTGGGCACCGGGATGCTGTGGGCACTGGGATGTAGTGGGCATCGGGATGCTGTAGGCACTGGGATGCAGTGGGCACCGGGATGCTGTAGGCACTGGGATGCTGTGGGCACTGGGATGCAGTGGGCGCCGGGATGCAGTGGGCGCCGGGATGCTGCGGGCACCGGGATGCTGCGGGCACTGGGATGCAAAGCATGCAAGGA